GGTGAGAGCAGACGGGCAGCCATGGGCCACTCCGAGAAGCGGAGTATTGGGGCTGCTGCTAACACACGCAGTGCCCCCAATACACCCTTCTGCAGGCCCTAGAAGGAGGGCTAAAATGCCGCTCCTTCCACAGCGGGCAGTAGGAGCGCTGGAAGAGGTGCCACACACTTCTTCTGCGCTCCTTCCAACTCAGCCCATGTGGAGGCTGTGCCAGAAGGATGTCATCAGAGCGCTTGCTGTGTGCATTGGTGCACATTCAATGACGTCCTTGGGAAGGGGTTGGAGCATCCAACGTCCGGCTGCCCTTCCCCTTTCCTGGCTTGAAGACGGCACTTTGTGCCATCTGCAGAGCCCCTATGACACCCAGTATAGGTTTCCATGACTGTGCAGAGATTCAAACCCTGATCTTCTTGAGTCTAGTCCAACATCCAAACCACTACACCACACAGCCTTTAAACCTTTTTAAAATGCTCGTAGTGACCAATGTTCATGATGATCATATACATATGGCATTTCTAAAAAGACATTTGTGGCTCACTGGGAGCAACAGTCTCAACCACTAAATGAACTATTTTTCCCTGGAAATTTGCATTTGGCAGTTTCCTATTCCCAAACTGTGGATCTGTGACTTATTGTTGGTTGTTTCCAGCTGCTAGTGCTTAACTGATGTGAATTCAGCTGTTGCATTAGCCACTTGAGTTCCAGCTATTGAACAGTGATGCAGAGGCTATTAATCAAAACCCTGCAATCCATTGGATATACTGCTGAATGTAAATCCAGCACACTTTTTGGAAGTGTGACCTGAGTAATTTGTGCACAGAGTTAATGTTTACTTTAAAACATGGCAAACCCATTAGTCTTCATGTCATTACATAGAAGTCACCAAATAATGTAACACTGCATTTTCCCATGTATGGCGTAAATCATTCAATGTGAAGATAAAGATGTAGGCTGATGTTACTGCTGATAAGTCAGGTGTTTACAGATTACTAGTGGTACAATCTACATGATGAAAGAAAAGTGATGTGTTAAATAATATTTACACTTTCCTATTTTCCTTCAAATATTTTTCCCCCTATGAAGTTTTGTAGTATAGCCAATTCCATGAGTTATTTTGATTTGACACCACTTGGGAACAATCTACTGCTTTTGTTTTTCCAAAGAGGAACATATAGCTGTTTTGTTATATTTATAACCTTCTCATTTTCCAAAGAACTTAAACCAATTTGCAAAAGAAAGTTACACTGTTATATCATCATGCCATCATATCATAACACATCATGACAGAACCATGCACATGAGTCTGACATCCCGCCACCCCAGAATTAATCATCAAATTCCTTTAACTCCCCCCCTCCGGCTTGTCTGGGAATTTTTCATGAAACAGCTGAGTCAGTTTGGGGGCATCAATATGGTGGGCATACAACCACTCATTTTTAGACTCAGGAAAATGTTTCCAACAGACCAAATACTTTAACTTTCCCCTATATAATCTCAAGTCTAAAAACCCAGCAACTTCAAAGTACTATTTTCCTTCCACCACAAGCAGTGGGAGTGGCTCTTGGTCTATTCACCAGGAATCAATGGCCAAAGCTGGCTTTAACAAGCTGAAATGGAACACTGAGTGTAGATGTCTGTAGGACATAAGCAAATCCAGCTCTGCAGTCACTATATTGATCAGTCTTTTCACTACAAATGATCCCACAGAGTTCAGTCCCAGTTTCTTGGATAGTTGCTGGGTCTTTAGATGCTTGGTGGACAAACAGACTTTGCTCACTGGAACAAAAGTCCCATTCCTTGCCCCTTTTGTAGTCCCTCTTTGCCCCTTCCAAAACAGTCACAATTTGAGGCCAGGCATCTTTAATTTTAGTAATCCATTGGGACAGTGGGACAGGGTCTGTTAGCTCCACTGTCAGTGAAGGCAAGGACTTTGGGTCATAGCCATAAACAATCGCAAATGGGGAATGACCAGTATTCTGGTTAGTGTCCCCACTGAATGCTACCTCCACATGGGGCAGGAAGTTAAACCAATCATCCTGAAAATAATTTCCATAGCATTATACACATTACTTCAGAGTGGCATTCATTCTCTCTGATTGTCCACCCATCTCTGAGTAATTAGAGGTGCTATTGCCTGCTCAATCCTTAACTTTTTTTTTGGCAAAATCTTCCAAAACTGCAAAGTGAACTAGCCCCCTCTATCACTCACAATTATCTACATACAATTTCTCTCAGAGCCTTCTAGACTCTTCTAGACAAGTTCCTGCTAGAGAGGA